GAAAAATTGTTTTACATTGTCATACTCTGTTTTTTCTTTTCTTCTTTTCTTAAATTGCACTCTTTTCTTAACTATAATAATAATAATAATAATAATAATAATAATTGTTGTTGTTGTGATCTTGCGGGCCGTATTAAATCATCAGACTGATTGCTTAATGGCGGCTTTCGGCAGCCTTTGACATAGTGACGCCGATGGTTAGTCGGCCTATCGCCGCAGACGCAGTCGTCCAGGAGATTTAAATCAGACCAAGTGAGGTGGCTACAAGTTGGTGAGGGCGTAGAGGTGACATAATCGTAAAAAGAAAAAAAAAATTCTCAGCTAACCACTCCTTCCTGGATCACGTGAGCCACGTGGCAGGGAGCAGATTCCTGTCGGAACAAGTACAGCCACACACTCGATCCAGGGCTTGTCTAACGTGTCTAACACCTCGACAGGAAAGAATTGAGGATCCATAACAGGATCAGCATCTTGAACTTGTATATTGCCGTAGGTACCTCTGTGCGACTCGAGACACCTCTCAGTTTGCGTGTTTACCTGGCCACTTTCAATAACCTCGCTATCAGGCGGACACTGTGGCCAAGAGTTAATGACACAAGACACGCGTGTCTTTTCGTTTCTTGTCTCAGATTGAAAGCTGCTATGTTAATATTCCATATGCGCCGGAAAAACATTGAGAATGCTGGAATGGTGGAATTTGGTGCATGCCGCGTAACATTGCTTCAGATCGTTTCCTAGTTATGGACCGCTAAAGAAATTTTCTAAAATACCTAGAGACCCTACACACACACACACACACACACACACACACACAAAATGCACACACATACATACATACATACATATATATATATATATATATATATATATATATATATATATACACGATCCTTATATTTGTTGTCAGATGGAAGACACTTGCCAAGTACTTTCGACAATTTCAAATTGTCATCTTCAGGAGCAATTTTTTCCCATACACAAGCAAACACTAAGACGAAATATGTGTAGACCGAAAGATGTTTTGTTTTTAATTATGCTATTTATTGACAGTTGAATATATGTTTTGGATGCCGTTATGCTCGAGTTCTTTTTCAAATCGATCAAGTGAAAATTTTGTTTGAATTTTGAAAAGATATAAATACACGAAATGTGTAACCTGTATTTATCTGTAAAAGTGACAGGGACTTAAGTATAATCCAATTAGCAGCTGCAAAAATGTCCTTGTAGTTTTCCACAGAATTTAAGATTCTGATTATTACCCTACTGTGGATATTATATATATATATATATATATATATATATATATATATATATATATATATATATATATATATATATATAAGAAATGGACAAGGTCCGACAATTTATTTATTAAAGACATATTTCTCGAAAAATTAATATTAATGAAAATTTCTCGGACATTCAGGCCGGTAAATGTTATTTAATACTGTTTATCATAAACAGAGCATTTGCTTAAATACTTGTATCTATAAAATAACAACGTTAAACATAAAATATGTCTTTAATAAATATATATATATATATATATCAGTATCGCACATATAATGCAGATTTTAATAAAAACAATGCTCGGTATAATATAGCAGAGTTGTTAATATATATATATATATATATATATATATATATATATATATATATATATATAGCAATCAGTACCTGAAGATTGCATAAGGCATGAAACTCCGAGTCGTACTATCGGCTTGAAGTATTATTTATTTTTATTAATATATGTGTGTGTGTGTGTGTGTACAAAATAAAATATGAGAAAAACTGTTGAATACTGAAATCTTTCTTTTAATTAAAGATTTCAGCATTCAACTGCTCTTCACGTTAATGTCTCGATATTTTACGTGAGCATTTTCAAAATGTCAGCACTTAGGTAAAAATGTACAATTTTTCAACATCCAACAGATTTTCACTTATTCCATTTTGTCAAATATTTCACATCAGTCATTTATCATATATATATATATATATATATATATATATATATATATATATATATATATATATATATATATATTAAAACTCTCATTAAATAATTTAGACAAGTTTTGTCTACTTATTTTTAATGGGATCCTCGCATAATTACGGACAATGTTGATGCATATTCATTTTTTCTGAGTATTTCGACATTAGCACAATATCATCATCAGGGTGTTGTTTTTGCCCGTAATTTTGTGAGGATCCTCTTAAAAATAAGTAACCGAAATTTGTCTAATTTATTTAATGAGACATAACTTAATAAAAATATATATATATATATATATATATATATATATATATATATATATATATTCGTTTTTTTTATCATTTTAATACTTATTTATAAATACTTCTGATGAATCATTCGTCAATGTATTCCCTTTCATTGTTTACGACCTACCAACGATCCGCTCTGATATAAACCACTAGGTTTTGACATGAAAAAATCAAGCCGCATTTTAAGCCCCACATCGTTGTTGAACGAAACACCCCTCAAATTATTAGAAAGCGACCGAAAAAGATAGTAGTCTGAAGGAGTTAAATCAAGAGAATATGGTAGGTGTTGCAGAACTTCCCAACTGAGCTTTTTTAATTTGTTTTGGTCACGTTAGCGACATGTTAGTGACGTGGGGGCGAGAATTGTCATGTTGAATATTCACACTATATCGCCGGTTAGGTCTTTTTAGCTGAATTGCCTCTTTGAACATTGACCGTTGTTCTGCATCTTACACATTGAGTGATGACGAAATGAGTTTGCCATCTTCTGAACCAATTCCCTTGGGGTCTGGCGCGGTTCTTTAATCAGCGCGCGCAATTGGTTCTCGTCAAACAGAACATTTCGGCCAGAAAGCAGAGAGTCTTAGTTCGAACTTCCCCTCAGTAAAACAGGAGAACAATTTCTGTGACATTCTGTTGGTAATGAAGTCATCTCCGTACATAGCCCAAATATCTTGAGCAGTTTTGGTAGCTTTGTGACCTTGATTAAAAGCAAATCAAAGATCAGGCCGAAAATTGAGTACTGTTGTCATATCTGGGCAGGAGCTGTCCAGTCTTGAATAATCAAATGTAAAAGCGTCGCCAAGTCCTTGTGAGTGATGGATTATTTTTCACCCTCCAACCTCTCAATCACAGGTGGGATGTAGTGAGTCTCACTGCTCTGTCACTACTTCCATAGAACACGCTCGGGCGAACTACATTCTTTGGTTCCACCAAGTCTAACCTTCATGGTTAAGACACGCCGTGCCGCTTACAAAGTAGCAAACCACCCATATTCCCTCCGTATTCCATTGGTGAGAAGTTCCACTCGAACAGCTTCTTCTCGCGAACCACTGCTCTCTGGAATCGACTCCCAAGAGGATACTCTCCCGATCTCTCGAATCTTAAACAGTTCAGATCTAGGGTCAACCGTTATCCTCCCTTCCTGTCCGTATAAACTGCCTCTTAACTTAGCCCTCTACCTTGAGTGCCTCCCCCCCCCCCCGGGCATTGCGTAGAATGAACCTTACTGTAAAAAAAATGTCGAATATACCCCGTCTTGTCTATTTGGCAATCCATCTCAAAGGCGTGTCTAATCTGAAATAAAATTTCAATAACTTTAGACAACAGTTTCACGAGAACCAATTTCGTTGATTAAAGAAGAAGCGCACCAAACTTCTAGGGAATTGGTTCAGAAGATGGTAAGCTCTCATGTTACTGTCGCTCGTCAAGGGGGTAAGGTCCAGAAAGACGGCGCATGGGTGTCACACACGAGGGGGGAAAATACTTCAGCGCTCTTCCATTGTTGACAGTTTATTCGTGTGCAAATTGTTTCTCATCAATCTGAACAGGTCGGCCAGAGCGAGGAGAGTCTGTGAATTCGATCTTCCTCCTCCTTGAAATGGGAAAATCATTTCTGCGCCATTCTGTCGGTAATGACGTCATCTCCGTACACGGCACAAATGTCTTGAACAGTTTTTTAACCTTGATTAAAAGCAAAGAGAAGAATATGTTGAACATGCTCACTCTTGTTTATTTGGCATTCAATCTCAAAGGCATGTCTCATCTGAAATAAAATTTCAATAATATTAGACAACAGTTTCATACGATGACTAGAATTACTGAAAAGCACAAAATACTACGAATGATTATTTTTCTCAGAACATCAAACAAAATATGATTGGGCGTAAATTGTCAAAAAATGGTGCAGCGTGACGGTCACCAGTCAATAACGTGTTTAGGTGGACAAGCAATTCACACCACATAAACATAGCCCTCACTGTTATGAATCACCGCCAGCCTTCACAGGGGTCCATGACCTCATGGATTCTGTGCGACACTCGAACACTACCACAAGCCCGAAACCACTGGAACCCTGACTCATGGGCCGACGCCACAAGTTGCCAGTCTTCCAGGGTTCAATTAGCGACGTCACCAGCCCAGGTGAGATGGTGAATCCGGAGTCATGGTTTTAACAGGAGAACCTTTGTTGCATCTTCAGCTTTCACATAGAAGCTAAAGAACGTTCCCTTGACCTGTTGGAGACATGCTTCATTGAATGCGGATGTGATTTAAGTCTCTGTGGATTATCGATTACTTCAGACAATTCTAACTTCGGATCTCGATCACTGAGGATCTGTAGTTGGCCCCTGCGCAAACCATATTGAGCGCTAATGTCTTTCATCAAGTATTCCCGCTACATACGTATCACCGTAAATTGGGAGATGTCAAATGTCCCCACCATTTCAGTCTCCCATCCATCATGTTCTCATTCGAACTACAATAATTCAGGTTGCCTTGCCATGAACAGCCTAGTCAGAGTTCTCACTGATTTATCGACACAACTGATACAGGTTTGGATAGTTCCATAACGTCAAGTTATGATGGCCCCACCAACCGTTATCTTAATATACTATTATCTATAACTTTTGGCACGTCAGTGTGTATTGGTGTGTAAGTTAAAATGTTTTTGCTATGGCTGTTTTTATCATATATAAAATAAATTTACAGCGACATCGTATTAAAACACCGGTTCTCATACGATTACCGAAGTTAAGTAACTTCAAGCCTGGTCAGTACCTAGATGGTGACCGTTTTGGAATAACAGGTGCTGTAAGCTTGGATGTGTAGATGGTGTAATGGATAATGGCTCGGAATTGTTAATCAGAGAGCCGAATTCTAATTCCAGTTTGTTTCGTTATATTCACTTCCGTGCAAACAAGATATGAATCCACCCCGCTATGGGTTAATTAGTAAGACGTGTAGCAATAAACTCTTCTTATCTCCAAAATGTAAAAATAAATATTGCGTACAAAATATTTAGATTTCGGCATTAAATACCCCAGCATTTTTCAACCAGTGCTTCCAGACACACTAATCCGTTCCGAAAGGGGACCTAATGCACCTCCAAATTAACAGTAGAATACCGTATTTTCCGATTTGTATTTTGAGTCATTACTCTATAATGTTAGTGATCTATCTAATTCAGCCTTTTATATGATTTAACCTCAGTACTTAGCTGTTACAAGTGTTTCCAAGACTATAAACCTTCCTGGAGACGAGCCACAAACTTAAATATGCTCTGTTTACTAGCAGCGACGGGAACCTTTCTGTTCTTCCCTAGTATTGTCATTGCCATACAAACAAAATCGGACGAGTGATTAATATAAACAATACGTGGCGCCAGTATGGTGATTTTTAAGCATAACTTAGATGTGGCACAAGGCCGAAATTATGGGGCGCCCAGTGAGGATTGAACTCACTATTCAGTCGTAATTGATCTAGCGAGACAAGGTTGCTCATCATTACACCACGAAAATCCGGTGCTCATTTTTTAACTAGTGAAAAAATATACAGAAGAAAAGAATATACATATACCATTAACATTTTTTAAGTCATTCACCCCAAGCAAGGCAATAAAGCCACTAAAAGGCAAAGGGTTACCGAGTGCTAGAGAGTATAAGAAAAAAATCCTATTAAGGAGAGAGAATAATAAAAGAAGAAGAATTAAGAAGACAGGGGATAATGATTGAAATAACATTTAAATTTTTGAAGATCAAAGTTGACTGGGAAGCAACAAGCCGGAAGAAAGTTCCACAGGTGAGAAGTGCGAAACAAGAAACTGTTAGCATAAAATTTACGGTTACATCTAGCCAATTCAACTATAAAATAATAAGACCTTGCCGCTAATCTAGTAATACGCTTACATTCATAAAGTCTAGGTACCATAGAGGAAAATTCATTAGAACAATTACCATGAAAATATTCGTAGGAAAGGCACAGGATAGCTACATTATAGCGGGTGGGAAAGTGACTGAATGCGAGATAACAGGAGGACCAATAACATTAAAGAATCTACTCCGGTTATTGGTCCTCCGGTTATATCAAGAATCTCTAAAAGGAGCGCCAGACCAGATGTGACAGCAATATTCAAAATATAGACTATAAAGTCACTAAGACACAAGGGGCTACTGAGCGTGAGAGAATATCAGAAAAAAAAAACACTATTAAGGAGAGAAGACAATAAAAGAACAGCAATTAAGAAGACAGAAGATAACGATTGACATTGCATTTACATTTTTTGAAGATCGAAGTTGACTGGAAAGCAAGGAGCCAGAAGAGACTTCCACAAGTGAAAAGTGCGATAGAAATTATTTTACTCAGGAAAGCTCAATTTTGACACAAGGCCATGAGTATGGGTCATTCAGTGAGAATCAAAATCACTATTCAGTAGTAGTAGACGGCTTACTTCACTAACCATTACCCCAGGCATCTACTGTGAAATTATGTGGAATAACATATACATTTAATGACTCAAGATCATTCCATTATTAATTGGGCTAAAAAGATTTTCAGCACTCTCTTGTACGGGTCAAAATCCATTATATAACAGTGTGTATATTACTCTACTTAAAGTTAAATATTTAAGACCCTGGAGGATTGTCTTTTCTTCTTTTTTTTTCTTTTCTTTTCTTTTTTTCTAATCATTATCACCCTAAGGAGGGCAGTACAGCCACTAACATGCTAATCCCTCCACACCCTGTAGGGTGTGGAAGAATTAGAAACAGAAACATTAGTAATGAGTAGAAAGAGAAAAGTGAAAAGTGCAAACAGGGGGACAGTAGATGGCACATTGCGTTTAAATTTTTGCAGACTAAAGTTGGCTGGAAAACATGCAGCCGAAAAGGAGTTCCACAAGTGAGAAGTGCGAGAAAAGAAACTGTTAGTATAGAACTTACGGCTACATCTTGCTAGCACAACTGTAAATTGACGAGATCTCGTCGCCAGTCTAGTATTGTGTTTAAATTCATAGAGTCGAGGCACCGTAGCGAAGAGCTCATCCGAACAATTACTATAAAATTATTTATTTAAAAAATATGGCACAGAGACACAACCTTACGGCGGTGGGAAAGTGACTGAAACCGAACCGCCACATCAGGATCAATAATATTGCTTATTCTTTGGATCTTGTCAAAGAGCTACAAGTAAATAGCAGTGTTGCTCTATGTCATTTTTGGTCTGTTACCATCCCTGTTTATCGCCGTTCTGACATCCATTCATAAAAACTCGTTAAGTAGGTTACCCGCTACTACCCACCATATTTTTAATCACTTCACCCAAAGCAAGGCAATAAAGTCACTAAGATGCAAAGGGTTACTGACTGTGAAAGAATATGAGAAAAAAACACTATTAAGGAGAGAGAACAATAAAAGAACAAGAATTAAGCCGATAGAAGGTAACGATTGAAATTGCATTTAAAGTTTTGAAAATCAAACTTGACAGAAAAGCAAGAAGCCGGAAGAGAGTTCCACAAGCGAGAAGTACGATCAAAGAACCTGTAAGCATAGAACTTACGGTTATATCTAGTAATTTCAACTACAAAATGATGAGACCTTGCCGCCAATCTAGTACCGCGTTTAAATTCGTAAAGCTTAGGTACCAAACAGGAAAGTATATCCATATTTAAAAACACTCGGAAAAAATTGTTTTAATGAAAATAAAAAAAATGACTCGTCCAATTTTTAGCCAGCAGCACAAATATAAGCAGCCTAAGCAGATGCTTTTGTTTTGTCAACACATGTGAGTGTGTAATAACGAACCTCACTGGCCCAGCAACTATCACAAACATCAATTTATTCTATTGTTATTTATCCTCCTTGTCTTTATAATCTTCACCTATATTCAAATGTCACCAAGACGAAGGGGTTACTGAGTGCGAAAGAATAGGAGAAAAAAAAGACACTATTAAGGAGAGAGGACAATAAAAGAACAGGGATTTATGAAGACAGTAGATAATGATTGACATTACATTTCAATTTTTGAAGATCAAAGTTGACTGGAAAGCAAGAAGCCGGAAGAGATTTCCATAATCGTGAAATCACTAAGAAGAAATGAGTACTGATCATTTAAGTATTACATACCACATCCCAAGCGAATCTGCCAATCGAAAACAATGATCCTGTTTTCTCTCTCGATTCAATGGACTTATGATTGGCGGGGGTCTATGCTGATGACATAGGTATTCATAGTTGGGATAAGAACGATCTTGAACAGAAAATCAACATCCTTTATCAAGTGTTCCAAGAAATAGGACTCTAGATAAACCTTTATAAAAACAGAAAATATGACCTAGAATTGGAATGAAAGCACTGATGGCACATACCCTGAATCAATCATAAAAATTCAGGGTGTTGAATTAGTAAAGACTAAATTTCTCGGCATATGAATCAGTTACAACAAATTTTGTATGAAAGAAAAGGAAATTGAACATAAAAGAGGGTGGGCCAGAGATAGTTTCGCTCAACACCACAGATTGTCACAAAACCAAAATTACTATCTAAAAACTCGAATCATGTTCTTGTTAGATCGAAACTTTCACATAGATGCCATGCAGGGTAGCAAACTCGTTAAGAAATATCTAAACAGTCAGATTTATATAATCGCAATGGTTAAGAAAGACTTTAAGTGAGTGAAACCTGAAGGTCTTGGCAAAGACCATCCTTCTTTGAACATTGTGGACTGGCGCTACATAATCACAAACAAAGAATTGTACCAAATTGAAGAAAAAAAAAACATATCACTTAAGGACTATCAACGGCAGCAACAACTAAAATGGATAGTATATGAAACTCGAAGTGAAAACATAAAGATAATCAAAATATTCCACACTACATCAAATAAAAGGTTAGGAAGAAAAACACCGTCAATACTGTAAAGAGCGATAGCAGCTACTGGAATTGAGAAACTTACTTTACTGACAAATTGTTTTAATACAAAGGTCTTATAAATTACAACCAATAACAGTATTGGCTTTTTCGGTCAATGAATGCCAAATGTTTTACCATTTTTATAGTTCTATAAGGTCTCATTTAAATTATTATGAAAACTTGCCAACTTCGATGCGTAAGATACTTGTCGAAATCGCAAATATAATACACTCCTCTAACTGTAAAAAAAAAACTCTAAAAATATTAAAAGGAAAAAACATCAATTATGTAGATGGTCAAAATATACAAGCCATGTTCGGGAATTAAAAACATATCAACACTCTACACCAGTGGTTCCCACACGGTGCAGCGCGCTTCATAGGTGCGGCGGAAGAGGATAACAGGTGAGGCGTATGATTGATTGAAAGACAATCAGAGATTTAGAAACAGTTTCAAAAAAATCACATGACAAACATGACTTCAAAATGAAAATATTATTATGGATTACTTGTAATTGAATGCACGAGCCCCATTAAAATAGTTATAAATAATTACTGACTGATTTTATCACTGTGATATTTTTGCATTATATCACGTATTAAGAATATAGTCATTACGGTCTGCAAATTGGAGGCGAGAGTTATCAATGATAATGTACTGACAACAAATCCGCGGTTATCTCCCTTTAAGCTTTACTCTGCTTTTTAATTTTTAAATGTACTTTTTATCACTTTGGTGAGGCGCGAGCAAATTTTCATTCCAAAAATGCAGCGCAGAGAAAAAAAATGTTGGGGTACCACTGTACTATACACACACACACACACACACACACACACACACACACAGATATTACTTTTAATGCTATTTTTGCAGATAACCATGTCTGACTTGGCGTGTTTTTTGCAGTATGAATACATCTGCCAGACTGCGCATTGGTAATTCACATATTTATATATATATATATATATATATATATATATATATATATATATATATATATATATATATATATATATTAAATAAGACTGAGGAAGTTTTTGTCGATTGAAATACATCTATCCCCCGTATGAGGTAATTTGGGATTTTGCTGTGTAATGCTATTTATTGGCTCTGTTATAATCAATACATTGAGCTCTTTTTGTGGATTAGTTTTATTATTTTATATTACTAGGATCCACTTGAATTATATACCTACGGATTTATTATTACCTTTACTATATATATATATATATATATATATATATATATATATATATATATATATATATATATGTGTGTGTGTGTGTATGTTCTGACGATTATGTATAAGCATGAAACAGACTGTCGCCGATAGGTGTTGACTTCAATGTTCAAATTTATATTTGCATACGCTCAATCCCTGATATTGAGCAATTTAACTCATAAATATTAGTCAGTTAAGTGTCATACGTTATACAAGCTTAAGCGATCATGTATCTTTCAATACATGACTGACAAGACAGTTTTTTTTTCCCGCAGAAGGTAGCCATTTTGTTCTGCATTAGACTGGTTGCACACCATGGCTAAAGAACCCAGTCTGTCCTGCTATTCAATCCATGTGGGAGAAGAGATGGATTCATATAAGTGAATCTAATGAACAGGACTGGAATTCTGGATGATCTTTTAGTGGAGCTGACACAAAACGATTTTTACCTGTTCTTTTTTTCAGCTTAATAATTCAAAGGGTTTTTCGTTGACTCTTACGACAAAAGGTGTCAAGATGGCTAAATGTCTTATCTGAAATCCTGGAAAAAAGAAACTCGATTAGTTTAGCGTTTTTATCGATATCAAACAGGGAGGTGAATCGCAATAAAGCGACACCTAAGCTTTAAAATGCATTTTAAAATTGAAAAAAAATTTTCTTGAAGCTTTTATTTTACTTTTAATTGCAAGCCAATAGATTAAGTTCAAATTGTCCAATATGCAAAAATATATTGCTGTATTTCAATTAAAAGCTTTTTTAGGTAAATAATGTCTTAGTTTCATTTCATTTTTTTATTTTATAATTCAAAGCAGATTTTCTGTAAATGGGTGTGTCCCGTTTGACCATCAAAAATTAGGTGATTTAAATTCTCTTACGATTTTCCTTATAATTAGTATAACTATTAATCACTACAACAAAAATTTCTCGAAATACATAAAATTAAATAAGTCTGGTGTAACAAATGTAAAAAAAAAATTTTTAGCAAGATTAAAAAGAAACATTTCAATAATAAATGTCATTTATTTGTGAATAAGTCCCGAAAATTTCATTAAAATCCGACAATTACTTGATTTTTGAAAGAACTTTCAAATCAATGTGTTTTTCGCCGCAAAATGGCAATCAAATTTCCCATACGAATGTATGGTCGGATGTTGACGCCAAAGAAACAAGATTTTTAACCAAAATCTCGAATGTTGTAAAAAGCATTGATAAAAAAAAATTACATGAAAAATCCTTTGATCTTTCATCTTTCCTTAATGACACAAAGATTTGAACGATAAAACTTTGTTTCTATTGTTTGGGCCATTTTTTTCATCCATTATATTCATTTTAGGGGAATCTTTGAAGCTACCTATATATATATATATATATATATATATATATATATATATATATATATATATATAGGCTGCGATGGATAAATTGTCGTCTAAATTACGCAAAAATGAAAATAACATTGACATCTCATTTTAACAGATATATTTACCAAAATTACACGAAAATATCTTGAAATACTATCGTGTAATTTATTCAATAAAATCGTCATTCGCTTTAATCATGGCCTCCAGACGACTTCGGAGTCTACTGCAACTCTTCTGGAAGGTCTCTTTGTTTAAGTTGGTCAATGCAGCCATAATCCTTGTCTTCGTGTTCAGTGTTACAAGGAGTTTTGTTTGTCTCTTGCTCAACTGTGCCCCACACATAATAATCAAGGGGTTTTCCGCTCTAGAGAGTTAGGTGGCCAGATGTAAAGGGTGATGTGGTCGCAGAAATTGTCTGACAGCCATGACTAGGTTCTCCCGCTTGTGTGGTATAGTGCAGAGTCCTGTTGCCAGACATAATGACTTCCAGCAAGTAACCTCTTGACCCAGGTGAGCAAGGCACTTGATGTAGGCCTCCATGTTGAGTCTGAGGCCCTGTGGGAAGATGAATCGAGGCATAACGTCGCCATTACTAGTGATCACTCCAAACACCTTTGTAATCACCATTAGACTCATCCAACTCTTTCTGGATCTTCTGCACTGTCCCCAGATTTATACCCAAACACTCTGAAATATATACAGGGATCCCTCGATTAATGCGGATTTGATTAATGCGGATAATGCGCTAAGAATTTTTTATACCAAAATTCGATTAGTGTATACATAATACTCAATGCAGTAAAACATTCTTCAGTAATTGAAAATTGATTTTTTAGTTATCGATTAGTTAAAGTTTTCTAAAATTTACAAATGGAAAATTTTTGTTTGTCAAATAATTACATTAGTGTTAAAAAAAATAGACGATTATAAAAAGATAAATTTTATAATATAAACCGATAATAAAAATATATTTATATAATAAATGCAAATGTCAGTGTGTCACTGTGTAACACTTTTTCAACTTTACTCCTAGAGGTTGTAGCCCAACATATCATACCATTTTGGAATCAGGCCGATTCCGTGGGCAAATTAAAAACATTCCGACCAGAAATCCTGAAATTTTGGATTGGATTCCCAAGTTTTCATTACTGCGATTTTTTCGATTATTTTTTACGTGATTTTTTTTCTTTTTTTTTTTTTTGTACGATAACAATTTTTATAACTTGGAAATAAATTTGGGAATAATCGAAATTAATTGCGAAATCCAGCGAAAGTCACCCATGAAATAAAAATAATTGCTTATACGGAAAGTAAAGCCTTTCGTACATCAAATTCTCTTTAAATTAAGTGGCGACAGAGGAATTATCGTTGAAATTTTAAAAGGTAAGCTTAAATATTAATGCAATACTTAAACGCAGCGATCAATTTTGTGTTCTTCTGTAGTTTATTGTTGCCTATCGCATCTACTCCTCCCTACCTATTGTGATGAAGGAACACTTAGGAGTCCTTCGCAGGAGCTAGTTTAAATGCTGACCGATAAGGTGACTTTTAACCTTGTATTTGAATATTTTTTTTTGTTAAAAAAAATGAACGATTTAATTAAATATAGAAATTTACATTTATTAAAAAATATCGAAATATAAAACCTGTATGCATTTACTATGAAAAAATTATAAATAAAATTTTAAGGTTAAAATACTAATTATATGTTTGGAAAATTTCCCAAAATAGAAAATATATATGTGACAAAGGTTCTTTTTTTTAAAAATTAAATTGAATTGATTTTTTTGTTTGTTTTTTTTTTGTTTTTTTAGATTTTAATATTTACTTACCCGCAAGCATAAGAAGATAACAAAGAATGAATTAGGAGAATTTTCAGGGTCATTGAAGAATTTAAAGGAAAATATTTAGAAGTAGACCCTGATGAAGACAGAAGCTGACAAATTTGCAGAAAAATTGAAGGGACAATTTCTCAGTACCACCATTTATATGAAGAACAGAAAAATACCACACAGCAAACCACTCTAAATAATTTTTTCATAAAAAATCAGATTAATAAACATTAATTCATAGAATTTTTATTGTATCTTTTTATGTACCTATATTTTAATTAAAAAGTACGCAAATTAGAAAATAATTGTGAATAAGACTAAAATTTGAGGTACAAATTACATCATTTCCTATAAGTTCGATATTCGATTAATGCATTTTCGATTAGTGCGTATCTTTTAATGTACGCATTAACCGCACTAATCATTGTATTTCCCCATCACCAATATCCCGATTCTGGTAAAATTTATCCTACAAACAAGAAGACAAAGTTTTTACTGTAGTAGGGGAGATAACTTCGATAATCTTTGTTAAAATGATCAAGTTATCTATACGTTTTATTTTTTCATCAGTCAGAATGTTGGAAAAAGAAATTATTTTCTCTGTCTGGGATAATGTCAATATTTTTTTCCTTCTTGTCACATCAATAAATGACGTTACTATCACGAAATGATTCAGTTGCAACGTTTTCATAACGAAAACTATCAGAAAAATCACTGACATTGCAAAAATTACAGGGTAGACATTTTAAAAAATCCATGATCAATAAGTTATTTATTGCTTCAATTGAAACAACAATGACTTTTTAAGTGCATCTTAGATATGGGAAAGCATGAGGAGCACAGTGAGGATTGAACTCACTTGTAATGGTTCTAGCGAGACAAGTTTGCTAACCATTACACCACGTCGAGGTGCCTAACAATCAGAAAGACATATACCCCGATAGAAATTTCAAAACATATTTTATATGAATTGCCACAAATGTAGGAAATGATTTTATAATAATAACAACCTGTTTATGTTTTAATAAATTTGTCGTTAAAGTCAATGCGAAAAATAACTTGAATTTCTTTTTATTCTATATTTTAAAAATGTTTTCTTTTTGAATTATACGATTTTCAAAAAGAAAAAAATTAAATAAATAAATGCCATACAATAAAAATTTAAAAAATGGGTTTCATTTCTAATAAACTATTTAATAAATTAAAGCTCAAAATATTTTTTTCGTTGAAAAAAAAAAAGGTTTTCAAAGTTTTATTAAAGATGGATTAGTATTTATGTAAACCTCCCACCTCCAAATTATAGTATAAATTTAACAGTCCTATTTGCAACAGGATTTTCAAACCATGTCCAGTCAGGGTTTAAATGACCACGGTTCTCCAAATCTTCTTTTTCCTTTAATATGGATGCACTTCCGGCAAGCAAGATGGTCGGATCCTTACAGTTAACTTCTCTTTTAACAGAGTTCCAAACAGATCCGGCTTACGGCCATGTCACCTTGAAACACTGGTTCTTGTACGATTACCGAAGTTAAGCAATGTCGAGTCTGATCAGTATTTTGTTGGATGACCGCTTGGGAATACCAGGTGCTGTAAGCTTGAATGTGTAAATGGTGTAATAATGGATAATGGCTCGGAATTATAAATCTGAGACCCGAGTTCGAATTCCAGTAGAGTTCGTTATAATCACTTACGCTCAAATACCCTTGGTTTTGGGAAATTAGCAGAGTTGCTTCCCCTTGTTTTCTCCCTGGTTTTGAATTCAATAGAGTTGTCTTTTTTTTCCTTTTCTTTTTTAATCATTTCATTTCACCCCAAGAAATGCAATAAAGTCACTAAGACGCAAGGAGGTACTGAATTTGAAAGAATATGAGAAAAAAATTATTAAGGAGAGAGAACAATAAAAGGACAGGGATTAAGAAGACAGAAAATAACGATTGACATTTAAATTTTTGAAGATCAAACTTGACTGGGAAGCGAGATGTGCGTCTTGAAATAAGAAATAATTTTTGTAATGTTTACAGAAGCTCAGAATGTTAAAACGGCAAGCTGAGTTCGAATTCTGACCGAGAGTGTTAGAATCACATCAAAAATAACTAAAAAGCAAGAGGCTAGAAGAGAGTTCCACAAGAAGTACGAGACAAGAAACTGTTAACTAGAACTTATAGATACATCTAGCCATATTGACTGTAAAATGATGAGACCTAGCCACCAATCCAGTACTGCGCTTAAATTCGTAAAGTCGATGTACCATAGAGAAACGTTCACCAAGAACAATTGCGAAGAAAATATTTCTTAATAGAAAAGGTACAACGAAGATACGTTACGTCGATGGTAAAGTGTCTTTTTTCTAGATTGGTTGTCATGCCACGTCTAAAGAAGCTACTATTTTACTTTACCCGTCGCTTTTAGGGAAAAAGAGATGGGTTCATGCCTTTCCCAAGGATAACAGTGAAAAAAAGGTGAACACAACAGCTGCAGTCGAAATTTGAACTCGACATGTCGATTTCATTTTACGTGTTAATAACCCTTATTCTACCCGCCTATCCATTACCAAAGGATGATTGTGTGTGTGTGTGTGTGTGTGTGTGTGTGTGTGTGTGTGTGTGTGTGTGTGTGTGTGTGTGTGTGTGTGTGTGTGTGTGTAATATCTCGAGTTATTTAATTTTGGTATATAGACGCATTGTATTTATTTAGCTTGTACGAGTATAGCAAAAGAGGCACTCAGTGAGAACTTGACTCCCTACACTAGAGAACGGTTGGTGAAACTAATTTCTTAAACGTCGCGATTACGGTCGCCTTCGCCCACATTTAAAAAAAAAATAGAAAAAAAAGTAAAAAGAAAAAAACTGATAGAATGGCTCTCTTCGTCTTTACGTGAAAGAGTGTAGGGGAGATAACCACGAACTTACTGCTATCTAAAATAACGTATTTCTTTCTGTTATTGATGTTATTGAGGTCCAGATTAGAAAAAAAAGTATCGAAAAAATTTTTTGCCGCTAAAATTTCATGTAGTCTTTTTAATTAATACAATATGCGCAATCTTTCATAGTTTATTTTAAAGTAAAATATTATCACCTTCAATTCCAGAAAATACAGTCAAAAACAAATTTAAAAGCGCGTGTGTGTGTGTGTGTGTGTTACCAGTGGTGCCCTAGGCGTCACTAAACAGTTATTTTTTAAGTCAGACAAATCACATTCGGATATTGAAAAAAGAATTTTCTTCTGATGTATATTCCGTATTTGATTATTGTAAGTGAGAATCAGTAGAAAGAATAAATTAATAAACAACTTATATTTGATCTTTTTCCATGTCGAAAATAAGAGAGAAATATGATAAACTCATAGCAATAGTTTTTTCGATTTATATTTGATATTTTATATATCATATTTATATATCATAATATTTTATGCTTATATATCATATTTCTCTTCTATTGTCGACGTGGAATAACAATAAGAATTATAAAAATATTTTAAAATCTACTGATATAGAATTTATATATATTTATGGGGTTGTAGAGGGTCTGTTAGATGGTGTGACCTCTCGAATTTATATTTACGCAAAATACCACAAAATATGAAACAATAAGAAGGAACACAAAACGGTTTTTATAACAACAAGAATATATTTATGTATGTAATGATAGACAAGCAGAATTAATAATTAATAAAAGTTATTTCCCTTTGACTGGAATTAAAATATTTACTAAAGAAATATTTTTTTATCTGAGCTCATAAAAAGTTGAATGAACTTGTCGCTCAAAATGTTCACGGTGAAAGAGTTGAAAGAATTCTGTAAAGCTGCGAAAATGTTGATAAACTTTTAGCTTCAGAAGAGTTGAAGGAGTGAATGTTCCGTAAGGTTTGTAATTAAGTTTCCGTGGCTTGTAGTTGAATATTCGTAATATGTTGATGCTTGTAATGTTCTGTAACGTTTGTAATTAAGTTTCCGTACGTACGTGTATGTGTGCGATGTTTTCATAGTGTCCGCCTGTAAGGGGTCGGAATGCGATTTCTTAAACAGCTACATTTTAGTAAGCGAGTGAAATTATAGAATCGTCAATGTTTGTCTACTCACCCCCGTTAAAAATAGACTCTTCTATAAGAATTAGCTTTGACCAATCAACACCACACATTGTGAAACTCGGCTTGTGATTGGTCGAGACGACCCTAGAATGTGTATCCATGGTCAAAAATCTGTTTTCCCGCCAGGCCACTGGGAGCCTACTTTGGTTTCCCAAACTAAATAAAAGGACGAAATTCAATCCAATTCACCAGTCAGGATTCCACACTCGGAGAGATGCCAACCAATTCCACGCCAATTTAAACTTTGACTTTCCCGCGCGAATTAACCTCTGACTCAACAACCTAATGGTTTACTCAATCTCTCTTTAAAACAAACTTCTCAAAAAATTCATTTACTTTACTTGAGAAAGTGAAATATATATTCACTACATATTAGTAACAGTAACAAACAAAACTTTCAACAATTAACAGTTCAAGGTACGCAACTTCGTACAACTTAAGAATATTTACAATAACACTCGTATACACACATTAACATTTGAACTGTAAAATCAAACACTTTTGTACGTTGAACAGCAAACTGTTTAATTCTTACCATAAATCATCGAAACATTGATTTAAGCCTTCAAACATACTCAACAACAAACTACATGTCTTATTACACCAATATACAACAAATCACCAACTCATTTGTATATATTTAAATTGTATATAAATTAATGTTATTGTTATGCATTTAACTTTTGTCTTGTTTTTCCAACTTTATTTGCATGATTTGTTCTAAGTAATTGTTGTGGACGAATGTTTTAGAACACACCCTCGAAATTCCTTCTGATTAATTAAAACGCAATCACCAGTCCGCAACAAAATCAAAAAGAAGAAGAATGAACTTGTGTCTGGTATTTATAATCAACGTAATCACGTGACAGGCTCCGAAATGCATAAAAAGATTTGGGCGGAATTGTTTTTTCGTCAGGGCAGGAACTAGGTCGATGTTATTCGGACGTAGTTGACAACATGGTTTTAATATTAAATGACCAATGAGAAGTGAGAAAAATATCAAGGCTCTGTGATCCACTTTTTGCACAGAATTGCACAAAAATTGACATTGATAGAAAAGTGGTAGCAGAATGATATAGGGTCATAAAATCGCATATGTGACTAGAGACCTTTTTCTGGTTTCTTTATAATTTGCATCGTGGGAATTTTTTTTTATTTTTTATTTGTTATTATTATCTTATTTATTGGCTTTATTTCATTTTCCCCGGAAATGCGCACACACATACACACAGTAGAGTGTACCAAATGGGTAACTATAAATGAAAATACTTGATCTGAACTCTAACAAATCTTATAGAATTCTACGTACGCTTATTCGAAAAGAAAAAGCTGAGTTTCGATTCTTGCTTGAAATATGCTTTTTTTTTTCTTTTTGACTAATCTAAATCCTGTCAGGGTTATAAAACCCAGAATAATACAAAATCTGAGCCTTGCTTCATACTTGAAATATGCTTACTTTTTGGACTAATCTGAGTATTGTCAAAGTTATAAACTCCAAGTTAATACAAAATGTTAGTCTCGCTTCATACTTGAAATATGCTTACTTCTTATCTGAGTCTTGTCAGGGTTATACAGGGTAATACAAAATCTGAGCTTCGATTCATGTTTGAAATATGCTTACTTGCGTAAGCCTTGTCAGGTTTTATGCTAATAAAAAAAATCAGTGTATGTTCATATGAGCTTGTGCTTTTGCTGAGCCTTGCTTCATACTTGAAATACGCTTACTTTTTGGACTAATCTGAGTATTGTCAAAGTTATAAACTCCAAGTTAATACAAAATGTTAGTCCCGCTTCATACTTGAAATATGCTTACTTCTTATGTGAGAAGAAAAAAGAAAAAAACTAATAGAATGGCTCTCTTCGTCTTTACGTGAAAGAGTGTAGGGGAGATAACCACATATATGTAGCTGTCTCAGTAATGTTTGTATCTTTTTCAGTCTTCTTTTCTCTCTCTCTCTCTATCTTTATCTATCTATCTATCTATCTATCTATCTATCTATCTATCTCTATCTCTCTCCTGTTCCTGATGGATGTATAAATATATTTGTACAATTGCAGACGACACTAACTCGCACAATTTGAGAACATTTAGAGCATATTTTGAGCTTTTCAATTCCAATCATAGAAAGACAAACGAAAAAGAAAAAAGAAAATCTGAAAAATGTATTTGGAAATAATCATTTTTATAAGTAAATAAAATGAATATTGAACAGCTGATAATAAATTCACGTGTCTTTTTCGCTTAGTTTTGAATGCAAATAAAAGGAATTATTTTCTTATGTTTTTTTAATGATTGAATATTTGTCTTTTTTTTTTCTTTTTAAAATTCCAGAATGATAACTCTTATTCACTTGGTTGATTTTTGTTTCTTCTTTTCATTTTTAGCAAAGGTTTTAGAGAAAAATGAATATTTAGCAATGACCCCAAAATAAACAAAATAGTTTGAGCTATAAACTTCTAAACAGGGACAATGAAATTCTAACAAAAATAAATGAACATTTTCATTTT